GAGGGAAGTCGGCTGGTGGATGCTTTGCCACTCGTTGGGTGCAGGATGAGGCCATCACCCCTTGGTGTCTCCGCAGCGGATAAAAGCCCACCAGGGCGCTCCTGCACCCCAAGGACTTCAGCGTGGGGCCACCCCATCCCATCCCCGGCTCCACGCAGGGAAAGGGGGTGGCCGGGATAACAGGATGGGGTGACCGATGCTGCAGGGGACCCGCACGGAGGATGCTGCACCCCACGGGGACGAGGGGCCCATCCCCTACCCGGGGGGGGACACGCAGCAGCGTACATGCCACCCTCCCCCCCGCCACGGGGCTCAGCGCACAGGGCCCCAACGCTGGCTGACAGCCCCTAATGCATTTTTGATTTCCCAAATATGTGCCCTTCTGATCTCGCTAAGACGGATAAAGAGACTTTAATCAGCTGCTAGGAGGAATTATAGATGGCTAATTGTGCCTGCCGCCTCCACTACACCTCTGCCGCCTACGGGGCTTACAACCAGTTAGAAGGGTCCTTCCAAGACCTTCATTAGCTGTACACCAAAGGCTTCGGAAATAATTAGCCTCTACGATTTAGAAATTGGCCACTGGGCTGTAAAATACCAGCCACTGGGAAAGGCTCTTATTCGGACTGGCACTTTGATACAGCTTGACTCTGGTTTCAAGACTGTGGCGGAGCTGTAATCCCTCATTAGCGCTGCGATGAGAGGAGCAAGCCTCCTCATTAGCACCGACACCGGAGCGCCTCAAATCAAAGGGACGCAGCCCACCTCCCACGCCGGCACAGCAGCTCCGGGTGGTTTCTCTGCTCAGTGGCTCTGGGGTCCTTCACTCGTATTTTTCCACCCTTTCTCCCATCTCTCTGGGTGCTCCAGCCCCCGGGCCGTGAGCCGTAACCCAAAGGTCCCCCATGGGTTGGCAGCTTCACCCACCGCTGCGTCGCTTCAGCAGGTGCCTTCCTCCCCTCTTTTTGATGGAAAAAGGGCTGCTGATGTGTTTTCCACACTGCTACCTTCATTTTAAGACAGTCAAAGGTACAAAGGTGCAAACGGACAGTCCTTGTTTCGGACAAATGAAAACACAGCCTACAGTTATGTTTTGCTACCTGCAATGCCTCCTGAGGTCTGGCCCTTGAGATTGTACACCTTTACTGACAGCTCTTTCGCAACCAGTGCGACTTGCGGAGCTGTTGCTGGCTGGTCCTATTAGAGACCCCGATGCCACGGGTGAGATGGACAAAATCCCCCCCCACCCTTGGCATGGGTGCACAGTGCGAGAGGGAGGAGCAATGGGCTCCAGCACCATTGGGATGGCACAAGCAGCCCAACCTCGGGACCATCTCCTCAGCCCCAACGAGGGCTCTCTGATTTGGAGCAGTGATAAAAGCAGCTGTCAGGAAAAAAACCCTACAGCTGCGCTACAAAAGAGAGAAGCTATTTCAATGACGGCAACGTTAACCGACACCGCACGGTCAGGGGCAACTTGTGCCTGCATCCTTACCTAAGCCCGTAACAAGTCATCAGCTTTCAAACAGGACAAACCAAAGGAGACAGGGTTTTCGGCTTTGTGACACACCACACTACGCTGGTAGGTGCCATCCACACGACAAGTTTCTTATACGGCTCATGACTGAGCTGCCCTTTGGGAGCTCTCTAATTAGCTGCTTCTGCAGTTTTGAAGGTGTTTGAAACTCTGCGCTCACTCAGGGCGAGCACCGTTTGTATGGCTGCCCTGTTAATGCTCCAAAGGGAAGACTGCAGCTTGGGATGCTGCTGGTAAGGATAAAGGGATGGGGGGGAAGAGGGAGAGATGAAAATTTTCTCTACGACAACTCAACAACTTGCTCTCTATGACTAGCAGTGGAAAGATGAGCCACTTACCACTTTGTCTTAGCTTCATGTAGATAACATATTTATTGAAAATCTGCTTCACCAACAACGGTGAAATCATGACCAAAAATTACAAAACATCATGGTAGTTGGCTTTATAAAAATAAACTGCAGGAGTATGCCTCAC